GGAAAAGGGGCAACGTGTTTTTGGTTGTGCGGCGTGTTTTTTTTTTTCTTTATTTTCTTTTATCTTAATAATAAAATCAATGGCTCAATACCACTTCGTGGATATTTCTCCACTCTTGAAGAAGGTTTGTCCAGCCGATTAGCTTATTTTTCAAAAGAAACTTCCGAGGGAATGGTTAGAGGTGGACAAGGGCATGGTCAAGGGCATATAGTACATGTACAATAGCCAAGTAGAGCAGGAAAGTCCGCAAGTCCAGAAATTGGCCACAGCCCGACATTACAGTCGACTCTGGATAATAAATGTCGAATCTGAATTAAATAAGAAAAGGCTATGGTCCCAGCTCATAGTAGTTAGTCCCAGAGGAAATCGCTCTGGATAATATATAACTCTCGATATAAAATAACATTTTTATTTTATCCAGAGTCAACTGTATAGTTGTCGACTCTTGTCTCTTCGGTCAGATACCACTGATGGTCTTTATATAAAAAGGCAGCCGGATAAATACTCTGTTCTGTCACACTTGTCTCTCACGCCCCCACACTCTCACACTTGTCCTATTTCTCACACTCCCATTCCCGTTCTCTACTCTATTATACTGCACGTGTGTGTAGGTAAGTGTGTATGTGTGTGTTTGTGAAGTCTATTCGTATATTCCCATTGTGCTGGTCCTTTTGTGCGGAGAGATTGAGAGAGAGAGAGAGAGAGAGAGAGAGAGAGAGAGAGTACTGATCCATCCCAACTCGCTTTCGACTTCTAGTCTCCCTATAGGACGCCGTGTTCTTTCCTTTCTTGCCATTTTACTGTGACACCAACAACTCAATCTCTTATTTTAAAATACAAAACACATTTATATATTAACACACTTTAAATAAGGTCGCTCCTCTTTTCATATTCATTGGTTGGTCATTTTGTTCATTGCTCATTTCCCCATCTCTCTTTTTCTCTCTTCTCTTCTCTCTAAAGTCGATTTTGCTCCCTCTCCTCTCTCTCCACTCCCTTTTCTGAATGTCATTGGCTACAGGCGGTTTTTCCCCTGCACATATCTCTACCACCTCATTCGGAAGCCAACACGAGCTGCACCCAATGCAGGACTTGGAAACTCCCCTCATGGCCGCTAATAAGGGTCCAAGGGACAATTCAGTCTCACGGGCCACTGCCCAAACCGCATTCAATGTCGTCTCTGAACCATCTCCAATCAAGCAATTGATTGCCTTGAGCATCAAGAATATTCGAATTCGTTCAAGAGACTACGCCCAGACTATGTAAGTGCTGTGGCTACACCTTTTCTGTTCAATTGTATCCTTTTCTTGCACCACAGCCACAGTGCAAAAACACTAACTTCAATTGCTTTTAAATCTTTTATAGTAATGCCCTCTTTCAGGTACGTATTGATATACTGCTGACATACATATCCCCATAGACAGTATGCTAACATTCCACTTCTCATTGCCTTTTACTTGCCATGGGTTCGGTTGCACTAAACAAAAAAATAGCCTGTTTGGATGATGCTCATCTTGGTCTTCTTGCATCTTTCTGCAACCAAGGCCCCAAACCGTATGTTAATATTCTACCATGCATAAGCACTTGCATTACATTACTGCAACGTATATCGATCACTCAATTCGTATCCTTTTTGTTTTTTATCTGTGTATTAGACATCAGCGTCAAGCCATTGCCATTTCTCACTGTTGACACTTGCAAATCTACGACCGATTGCGTCCACTTTGGATACACTGGTGTCCCAGCTAATGACCCCATCATCACTGAAATATCTGGATTCTTTGCTGCCTCCGAGCCCAACCCTGTCATCTCTAAATTCTATACTGATGAGACTGCCATGAGAGCTGCGTATGATGCTTCCCCTGTCAACTTTGTTATTGGCGCAGTGTTTTTCCCTTCAACCAACTTGACTGTACCCACTACCCCTGGAAAAGCTGACTTGTACCAATACACAATTCTCGCAAACCATACCGCCTATGTCTACGAAAGCTACCTGGATACACGCTATGCCACAGTTCAGGTATTTAATTCGACATTGTTTGTTTCCTGTAAACAATGACATGTAAACAGCGTTCCTAATGTTCTTAATACGGGATGGGATTTATCATTAGGCTTATATTGAACGTGCCGCCATCAATTTACGCCGCAAGGCCAACAATAAGCCAGCTCTCTCTTCACCACTTCCTCTCAAAGCAGATCCCGGAACGGCCAACTCGGGTGCTGGAAGAACTTTTATCTCGTATGCCAACTTTGTTGGACTGTCATCATCCATCAACCAGAGTTTGAATGCCTACTATGTGATCTTTTGTTTCCAAGCTGTCTGGCTTGGTGTCTTGAGTATTTTGGTCGTTGAAAAGAAGAAAGGAATCCGAGCTGCAATGTCTATGATGGGAATGTCTCGCAACTCGTACTTGATTTCTATCTGGGTCATGCAAAAGTAAGAACGACGTCCATCTTGAAGAAAATGAAAATACTCTTTGCACATCTCTCTTTTTTTTTTTTTTTTTTTTTTTTCTTACTTGCAACTGTGTTTTACTGACCGACGAAAAACATTTATATTCTTGCCTCCTTTGACAGCATCCAAAACTTGGCCACCTGTGCATTGATGGTCTTTATTCTTTATGTCGGCAAAATTTTCACCAACACAAATGCGTTTATTGTGTGGCTGCTCTTGGTTCTCTTCTCCTTCAACGCCACAGCATTTGGAACCATCGCGTCTGTCTTTATCCCCGATCCCAAAAAGACCAATACCGTATCATTCGTTATCCTCATCTTCACTGTCGGAAGTTATGGAATCTGTTCCGCCTTTGTCTTTGGAGGCACCACACCCCTTACTCCTACCAAAGAGACTCTCGTTTACTTGCTCCCTTCCGTAGCCCTAGGAAGAGCCATCAACTATATCACCGGTATGGAGGCTGCATTGGGAGGTGTGACGTTTGAAAACATCTCAACAGGTCCTTGTGCCAAGGCCTTATGGATGATGGTCGTCGACTGTTTGATTTTCTACTTTTTGGCATGGTATATTGATGCGGTCGTCCCCACAAGAACCAGCAGTGGCTTGCCACTGGATTTCTTCTTAAGAGCAAGCTATTGGGGAATTGGGCGCTACAGTCGTGCCGCAGACTCTGGCGATGCTTTGAGAGGACCAGCCAAGCCTTTGGATTTAAGCCGTCCTTACGGAGATACCAAGCACCATGCGGATATGTATGAACAAGCTGATGTCTCTCGCATCCCTGCTGAAGATAGAGGAATCATTCAAGTCCAGGGTCTTCGGAAGGACTATCCAACTGGCCCCGGATGGGGTTATAAAGTGCCATTATTTGGTATCTTCTTCAGGATCTTTTACCCTCCAAATTCCGAGCGCACTACAGGTCCATTCTCGGGTGTTCAGAAGAACGAGGTCGTTGCAGGTCTTGATTTGGAAGTTCACAGGAACGAGATCATGGGTTTCTTGGGTCACAATGGTGCCGGAAAAACTACTTCACTCTCAATGATTATGGGAATGATCAATCCTACCTCAGGTTCTATTGTTGTCAATGGACATCTCTTGCCTGGAAGCTCCGGTATCAGCCGCAAGGATATGGATATGAGAACATTGGAGGAAGTCCAGAAACAGATGGGTGTCTGCCCTCAGCACGATGTTCTCTTTGATACTTTGACAGCTTGGGAGATCATGAAACTCTATGCCTCGATCAAGGGTGTTGTTGTCTTGGGACGCAAATCTTCATACAACGATTCGCCTTCAAGTCGCGAGGAATTGCTGGAAGAATACCTGGACCACCTCTTGGACGACGTTTATCTCAAGGAAAAGAAGCATGAACGTGTTTCCACCTACTCTGGAGGTATGAAACGCAAGCTTTCTGTGGCACTCGCATTCTTGGGAGACCCCAAGGTTGTCCTTTTGGATGAACCTACGACCGGCATGGATATCTTTTCAAAGAAGCAGATCTGGCAATTGATGCAGGACTCCAAGGCTGGACGCGCCATCTTGTTGACCACCCACTCTATGGAAGAGGCCGATGCACTCTCGGACAGGATTGCCATCTTGTCCAAGGGTGAACTACAAACTTTGGGAAGCTCGCTCTTTTTGAAGAACCGTTTCGGTGTTGGATACCATCTCAGTTTCGAGAAGCGTCGCGTCATGTTGGCAGATCAGATTCAGAAACATGAAATCCAGTCGACAAGTCTTGATGATCACGAGACTGCAGGAGTTGTGTTGTTTAACGAGGAGCGCACAACTGCCATTGTGAAACAATATTTCCCTGATGCTACAATTGATGTCAACACTGTGACGGATATCACCTACGTCTTGCCAACCACCGGTACTGCAGAGCAAAGACAAGGAAGGACTGCTCAACAGTATATTGAAGACAAGAAGGCAGCTTTGCCAGGATTGTTCTCACAATTGGATCAAGAGATTGCCGCCAACCGATTGGGCGTAAAGAGCGTGGGATTGGCTCTCACAACCTTGGAAGAAGTTTTCATCAGTCTCCAAGAACAAGAGGAAGCAGAGATGCTTGCCAAAAAAGAAGAAGACGCAAAGAAGTGATGAAACCTCTTTTTACGTGGTATCTATAAATTTCCATAAAACATATACTATTATACTATTATCAAAGAATTCACAAATAAATAAGAGCAGGCATACAAGCAAAGGCATGAAATTAAAAAAACAAAATATGATGTTCTTGATTCCTACACGACGAGCATTCTGTGCCTGACATCAACTTTTGACTACTTCTGCACAAGGACTATTCCAAAAAATCTTCACATGCCGCAACGCCGCTATGTTTGACACATTTTCTCTCGATCCTACCTTCAAGGGAAAAAAAAAAGGTAATCTCACCAAAGGGTGAACGGGTTCTTCTTGCCGGCTACGTGAAATTTTCCTCACAAAACTCACGTGAGAATTCAGCCAGTGGGGGATAGCTTTGTCCTGGGGACAAAAAAGGAATCCGTTAACCAGAATCTAGTGAGGACTTTGGGGAACCGGAATCATGATATGCTCACAGCAGGGATCGAACCTGCGGCCTTTGCGTTATTAGCACAACGCTCTACCGACTAAGCTATGCGAGCACCAGCTTCTTGAAAACGTCTTTTCCAGACATCTAAAAGTCCGATTCAGAATCACAAACCGAATCAAACCGAATCACGTGATATAAGTGACTGCTTAAACACGTGTGAATATGCTGCCCCTTAATTGACTCTTTATTTGAGCGCTGTGATTTTTTTTTTTAAAAGCGTCCTTTCGAGCGCCAAGAGGGGATCACAGGCAGGAGTAAACATGACCATATAAGGAACAATGGCGGTTTCGTGGGTTGCGCTCTGAGACATCGTCGTGCATTGGATGTCGAGGGGATCGGTATGGAAGTTTATAGGCGCGTGTTAGAGCACTTTTGAGGAGCATTAAAGCAAGATTTGATGGAAAAGTTAGGAAAAGTAGAATTCGCAATGACATAGGACTCCGGTTGAAGGATGTTCTAGTACGAGAAAACAGGCCATGTAAGGAACTAGGTGAGGGTGAGAGCTAAACGCAATGTGACTATGAGGTTATGATACTACACTAGAATCAGAACTCAGGCAGTGCTCTTTCCCTTCCCACAATATAATGAAATCGGTCTACACTTGGGCAACAAAGCACTATTCTAGTTGGGAGACCAAGCAAAAGCAATTACAGGCCCCGAGCAATGTGGTGATTCCTTTCAGATATGGCACCGTTCCCCGGGACCTTGGGACATTCAATCTTGTGACTGACTATCAAGCACAGTGCACAGGCCGAGGAGCGGCAACCAATGATCTCTTCGTCGGGCTCTTCGGTCCCAAGTGCCTGGTAATTTGGCAGAAATTGGAGGCCAACACATTCTTAAGCCTTTAGCCACCCTGCTGGTAGTGACAACAACCTTGTCATCGCTGTCGTATTCGTCAACCATAGTTTACTAAGCCAAATTGCAATTGACGTCGGAATTAATACTGAGATTGACATTGTCAAATCTAACTTGAGTCTTTTTTGTCGTCAATCTCATGGAACTGCCTGGCGGTGTACACAAACATGTATGAATCCCTATCTTTATTTACAAGCTTCCACTAGTAGCTTGTACCTCCTGAGTCTCCATTATGTTTCCATGGTATGACTAAAGGTGATCGGAACCAATGGCGTGTAGGAATTCAAGCAAGAAAGATGCTCTCATGCTCTCGTTTTTATGGTTTCATATCCCACAGGATCGTACGACCTTAACATGTAAAGTTTAGAGATGGAGTTTAGAATTTTTTTTCGAGTGGATGAAAAATGACAAAAAAAAAAAAAAAAAAAAAGGTAATTGGCATTCAAGAGAAAGACCTGTGCTTTTCAAGCAAGCCTGCATGCATGCATGCATATAATGTAATTAAGTATTTTGATGCAGCAGCTGCTACTGGTTGTAAAAGCACAGTTTTACCGCCAAAGATAGCTTTTACTTTAATTGTGAAGGCATAGCATGAGCAAATGTAACCTTACTCGACGCCCAGGGAATCCTTGGACATGGTCCAATCCCTTTAAACGTGCCCAAGGATAACAGTATGCTCAGACCTGCATGTTGAACAGGCCATGTTCTGAGTAGTAAGGCAACTGGATTGGTATCCACCCTTTGCTCATTTCATCAATTAAGACAGCCATTTGTTCAGAGTGTAGGACATGGTAGAGAGATACAAAATATCAGTGGTACGAGCACTTTTTTTCTTTTATTATTGCTATTATTATTAGTGTAAAAAGACAGTGGAAATATATGGTTGTACAGAGTAAAGTTGGTAAAGGGGGGAAGAGCATGCGAGGATTGCTTTTCTATGTTTTTGAATGCTGTTTTGATTTCGTTGGGGTAACAAGGAGGAGGGGTGAGATCAAATAACTGCTTTTGTATTTTTTTGCTGGTTGCTTGCTGCTACTACATTGTCAGGACTTCAATTGTCAGCTCTTGCTTTCCACTGCGCCAAGATGTTCTGGAACCGATTCTTGAAGCGAGGGTCAGCAATTGGACGCATTGAAGGCGCGATCGAGGTAGAAACTCCGTTTGTATTCGAGTAGGAGGATGAAGTTGAAGTTGAGGAATAGTTGGAGTAGCGTCGGTCGGAGACAACAATGTCTTTTGAGTTGAAGAAACTGCTCTTGCGGCGAAGATCTTGTCTGCTCAATGGGCGGCTCAGCGACTTGCGAGGTTCATCTTCTCCTTGCTCAAAGGTCTTTACTTCTGCTATGGCCTTGACTAACTTTTCTACCTCTTCGTCGTTGATCTTGAGAACCTCCTTTTTGATCTCTTCAGCCTCCTTTGCCACTTCTTGAGGCTGTGGAGGCACTGCAGACAATGTTGTATTTTCGTCTTTGGGCTCAGGTACAGTAATTGAATCAGAGGATTCCGCCGCAGCTTTTACCTTGTCCTCTTTGCTGACGGTATCATTGTCTTTTACTTCCTCGACTTCTTCGCTAGCGGCAACGACGGTGGTGGTAGTGGTGGCAATAGTCGAGTCGGTAGCGGCAGCCGCGGTGGTTGTGAAGATGGCATTTGAGTTTTCTTGTGTGACAATAGTGTTTGTATCACCAACTACGGCGTCTGTGCTATCGTCCGCGCTTTCGACTCGATCGTCATCGTCATCTGAGGATGGTACACTGGTGTTGGTAGCAAGAGGGTCGAACTGGGTAGGTTCATCGGCTTGGGCGTCAAGCTGTGTAATGATGGTCTCGGATGGGATGTCTTTCATTGTTGGTGCAAGGGCAAGAATGGATTGGTTCTCAGCAGGGGAAACGACGCTGGTAGCCATTATGATATATGTTTATGTGAAGAGGGAGATGTGAGAGTAGGATGTGAATGCAAGAGAGCGAGGGAGAGAGAGAGAAAGAGAGAGAGAAAATACAAGGATGTGTTGGGGAGGAAGTGTTGAATGTACAGTATGATACAAAGAGGAGAGAGAGGAGGGATTATGTGAGCGACGTGGCAAGAAGAGGTAAGGATTGGTGGAGAGCAACGAGGAAAAAAAACAACAAAAAAACAAGAGTTGGGCGATGGTATTTATATCCCTGTTTTCTTTGGGCAACAATGCGCAATGTTTTGATGGCAAAAGGGTCAAACCATGTCTTCTATCATCAGTCCTCTGTTTTCCATCCTCCTCTTCCCTCTCCTATCCCTCCCGTTTCGCCTAAAAAGATGCTCTACCGTGCATTGTGCATTTGACCATGCAAGATATCGTGATGTATCCACGTTCGGTTTGTTTTCCCCTCCTTTTCTCTCTGCCTTCTCTGTCTCTTTCTCTCTCTAGTCTGTCTATCTTTCCCTTTTTTTCCGCCCCTTCCTTTACTGTCATCATGGACATAAAAATAACCGTTCACGGCCAAGCCTTCCCTCGAGGAAATTGCACGTGCGAGCGCAATGTCTGTGCAGATGCAAATCAACAATTGCTCAATCCCGCTTTTTGTGGAACGGAACATATGTCTCTTCCTCTATCTCTTCTTCCCATTCCCTCTTTCTCATCCCGTAATCGCAGTTCTTTGAAGCATTAGAGCATTGAAGCTTCTCGAGAGGGGGAAGGGTACTCCCTGATACCATGTTGGGGTCTAGGGCGCCCAAAAAATGAAGGGTTCGAAAACGGAGATGCAAAAAAGGGGAGGAGATCCAAATGAAGAACCATTTCCCCCTCTTCTTTGCTGGAGTTATGAAACTCAATTGGTCATATACCTCGCAAGCCCCTTCTCCTTTGGTAACAAACAGATCCCTTTTTGGTTCTCTAGGTACAAACGTACACGAAAACGCGACACGTTCTGTGGAGGTGCGACTTGGCCCGTGTAATCCTTTTTCTCTCCTCCTTGTTTATTGTACACATGCACTCCTTCCTGTTTCGAGCCACTTCCAAGAGTTGGTTTGGAGAAATGAAAAGTTCGTGCGGTTAGACTACATACCTACAGGCTGAGTACTAGTTGTGCTTGTAGATAAACAAAGATACACGACAAATGAGGGCTATGGAGTGTATGGCTTTGATTCTACTAGTATTTATCTCGTCGCGTGTCTCCAGTCTACAGTAGATTAATCAAACAAGAACCTCATCTAGGTCCCAAGAGACATATGCGATAGGCTGGCACGGATGGAACTGCAAATCAGGCACGGTGTTGTTGTTTGTCAAATAATTCACCAGTCACATGTTGGCATGTTGGAAACAGGGCCAGATCAACTTTAACAACAGCAATGGTCCATTCCCACCATTTTCCCAGCATAATAACATGGCCACGCTCTCCTTGGCACACCTCAGGATCCTCAGAACAAAGCTGCTCTCATCTCAGACTCAACTCTCATTCAACAGGGCATGTCAAAAACGAACGCGACCTTCTCAATCATGCATCCACATTGAAAATCATCAACAACAAAAACGACTTTTTTCCACAACAAGGACTACACTCGCCAAGGCTCGCAAGGACAAAGTGGCCAGTAATGTTACCGCGACCAGTAATGCCACCACGACCAGTAATGCCACCACCACGACCAGTAATTCTACCACGGCCAGTAAGGCCGCCGCCACCACCACCACTACCGCAAGTGATTCCATAAACTCCAATGCTGCAGCAACAACGATAGCAGCGGCGGATCGATACATACCAAGCAGGACTGCAAAGGTGAAGAAGGCTACTAAAGGTGGACCTACCGTCGAGACGCCAAAAGTTTCAAAGTTCCGTGTTGATAAAAATTCGCCAAAAATTGGGCGGATTGGAAAGTTACTGGAGCAGAAACGTATAAAGAAAGCTGCTGCTGCTGCCGCCAGAGCCGCCAGAGAGGCCGCGTCTCCACCAGTAAAGAAGAAGAAGTGGGTGACTAAGAATGCCAAGTCCCTTACAAGAGGAAATTACAAAGCACTCCAGCGTAAGAACAGAGGCTTGGTTGACAAAGACAGCACGAGCAGTAAATTGGAAACTGGATCACCTAGGCGATCGACCTTGATCGACAGAAACAGCAGGAGCGATAAAGTGGACACTGAATCACCTAAGCAATCAACCTGGGCTGATAGAGACAGCACGAGCAGTAAAAAGAGGACTGATTCACCAATACGATCAACCTGGACTGACA